CACTGCAGTACACATGAGCTACCTACATGATTAGATGAAGCAGTGGGGAGAAGATCACAACATCGGGGGTAGGGGGGGAGAAGTCTCCAAATGAAGACTGAAAATGAACAGCCCACAGTTGGAGAAAAGTGTTCTAGGAGGAAGAAAAGATAAAAACCTAACAAGCCCCCCAAACCTTGCAATTCATTTAACCTAAACAAAGGTAGCAATTTGTATTGGCCCAATTTCAGCTGTAGATTAATCCCTGCAGAAATAGTGTTGAGTTGCACTTGAAGTACATCAAGGAGAGAGGAAAGTAATTTGGTGATCGTCCTCGGGTTTCCGACGACACCTGTGGTGGCGTGTTCACGTTTACTACTGGATCACAAATGCAAGGACAGGTGACACAGATGTGAGAAAGTTCCCCTAGATGCGACATCCCAACAGGTCTCCAGTCTCCCATGTGCCACCCATCTGCTGCTGGAACACATCGATTGTGTCTTCAATCCTCCATCTCCAGCTGTGCTGGAGTGTCTGCTTCATTAATTGGCTGCCCATCAAACCTGAATCTAATCTGTCTGATTGACAAGCCCTGTCGCTCACAGTAGGCCTTCATCAGCTTGCTCAGAGGCGTGTGCCTCTTGATTTTGAACTGGACGACAGAGCCATCCTGCCCAGCCACCTTCAGGATGATATGGTTATTCTCTGTCTTCACTCCCTCCTTGGGCTTCTCCTCAGACATGGCTGCGTGGGCGGAGGCAGCAAAGGCTGGGTCAGCGCCCGAGCGGGTGAGTCACGCTCTCAGCCCCGCCCTCTCCCGCTGCAACTAGGCTAATTTTTTTTAAAGAAAGGAAATCTGGAGGTGAAAGTTACACTGAAGTAAAATTCCTAAGGAACTTTTTTTCCCACTAGCCTCAATTCCCTTGCACTACTGACATTTAAGAACACCTTTTTGGAACTCCAGAAAGAAATAGCTGAGCTGCATTTTTAAAGCTGGAAGTGTGAGTATTAATTCACCGCATATCCTTTTTTTTTTAATCCTTTGTAATTTCAGCCCTTTCTTCAATTAACTTTGATCCATCTCAATAATTGAGATATATAAATTCGGGGCTCATTTTCCACATTGTGCATATAAGTCCTTCAGGCCACAAAAAGAGTTCCATGCTTTCTAACGACATTGATCCACACTTTCAGATGACACTAAAAGGCATAGTATACCTATCAGAAAAAACACAGGGGAAAGGGTCCTACCTACCAACCTTGTAACTGTGTTTACATTAGAAAATAAATAAACATATGGGAGGAAAATATAGCAGTAAAAGAAATCATGGATGAACCTGTTTTTTAAGAGAGCAAACTGACTTTTTATTGTCATTTGGGAAGAAAATATGGATGTCTAAGCCTGCATTTCTTATATATTTTCCATCCAGATACAAGTATTTTCATCCAAAGTCTAAGGTAAATGGTCTCCATGAAAATTGTCTCTGAAAGTCTGCAATGTGCATAAGAGGGTTCTAGGTTACAATTCAAAGTCAAAAGGATTTTGGTGATGTAGTTCCAAGGAAAGCTTGGACAAACAGCTAGTGAAATGAGAGTCCCCACAGGACTCTCCATGTTCCCTTGCATATCTTACGTTGGGCCATGTCCAAGTCTACATCTAAGTCCTCATTAATCCTGCTAAAGCTCAACTGAACAAAAATGAAACTTGTTCATCCTACCAAAGGGTTCAGTTAGCCCTGGTAACCATTTCTGAGCCTTTTGGTCTCTAGCACAGAGCATTTCTTGATGTTGTTGTTGTTGATTGTCTTCAAGTTGAGCACGCATCATAGCGACCCTATGAACAAAAGGCCTGAAGCCCCTCTACAACTCTCGACATTTATCAAAATTCGTAGAGTTTCCAGAGGCATGTTGTTTAGGAAGTGGATGCCACTCCTGCTTCCAAACATGTCATAATATGTTATTGTTTTTATGTGCCATTGAGTCGCCTGAGAGACACAAAAATGATGTATTGCACTAATGGTATACAAGGATAACTGTAATGTCATTGGTATGATAACTGAAATGTCGTTGAAATGAGAACTGGTAAGCAAACATGCACTTGTTTCATAGGAACCAAAAGTTTCAACTTGTAGTTGTAGAAGCAGAGAAACAAAATTGGAAATGTAGTCAGGAGATTCTTGGAATCCATAAACCCAGTAATTTCTTCAGTTATTTGTATTTATAGGAGACTATAAATAAAATGTATAGTTGAAGATTTGTGCTTTTGTTGTTAGATGTCATTGAATCAACTACAACTCATAGCAACCCTATGAGCAGAAGGTCTGAAAACTGCCCTATCCTGTGCCATTCTCATCATCTCAGACCCACTTTAGCCACTATGTCAATCCATCTTCTTGAGGGTCTTCCTCTCTTTTGCCAACCCTCTACCTTTCCCAGTATGATACCTTTTTCCAAGAAACATTCCCAAGCATGTGACACAGTTTCACCACCCGTGCTTCTAAGGAGGATCTTGGTTGCATTTCCTTCAAGACATACTTGTTTGTTCTTTTTGTAGTCCAAGGGATATTAATTATTCTCCTTCAACACTACAACTCTAATGCGTACATTCACCTGTCATCTTTAGTCATTGCCCACCTTTCAGATGATAGCAAGTATTTGAAAAGACCATGACTTGATCAAGTTCAGTCTTTAAACTGACATTGCTGCTCTCCAGCACTTTAGAGAGGTTCTTAAACAGTAGATTTTCCCAGTGAAACATGTCTTAATTTCTTAACTGATGGTACCAAGGGTGTTTATTGTGGATCCAAGTAAGATGAAATAGTTGACAATATAATTATTTTCTCTATCTATTATGATGTTGTCTATTGGCCTGGTGGTGAAGATTTTGTTTTTAACAAGTCCTTCAAGTCCTCACTTTCAGCAAGCAAGCTTGTGTCATCTGTATAACAGAGGTTGTTGATGAGTTTTCCTCAAATCTTGGTACAACATTCTTCTTGATATAATCTGTCTTCTCTAATGATTTACTCAGCCTACAGATTAAATAGGTATGGAGAAAGATTATAGGTTCCAGCACACACTTTTCTTCATTTTCAGCCATGCTGTGTTCCCTTGCTCTGAACAACAGCTTCTTAGTTTAAGTGTAAGTTTGCACGATCACAACTGTTTTGTGATTCCCATTCTTCTCAACATTAGCCATAATTTTCTATGGTCCAGAAAGTCAAATGCCTTTGCATAGTCAATAAAATACACAAGTGATTGCTATTAAGGGGGGAGGGGACACTTGAAAAATGAGGGACATGACATTTAGATTTAGTCTCATTGGTAATATTCTAATTTCTCCATATTTCTCTCTCATGGGCATCTGACTCACACTTTTTTCATTACAATAAGCCTATTTATTTGAAATTTAATCATTCTTTGTCTTTAATATGCTCTAGTGTTTTCACTTCCGTGACTTATTTCTTTTCTTTGTAGGTGAGTGAATTATGATGGTAATAGGTACTATTATAAAATAATAAGTAACTTGAAATCAAAACACTGGCATGTAATATGAATAGTACCATGTGCTAATATTGACTTAAATATAATTAATTCAACAATATTATACATTTCAAAATCAGAAAAGACATTTGAATATGATGAAGGTCAGTTTTTAGAGTGGAATTTTCATTTTTTAATATGTTCCTTTTAAAAAAAATAAGAATCAGGAAAGTAATTTTCCCCCCCAGCTCTGCCTCACTTACTCTGGGTACATGGGCAGGAGACATCATGCTCAGAAGGGTGGACAGACAGCACAGGAGAGGAAAACTCCAGATGATCTGGATTGATACAGTAACTGGGACAATGGGGGTTGGTTTGTTGAAGTCAGTGAGACTCGCTTAGGGCAAGGCAAGGCTCAGAGCTACTGTACATAGGGTCGCTATGGGTCACAGGTGACCAATGGCACATAATAACAACAATATACTATGACAGGTTTGGAAGCAGGAATGGCATCCACTTCCCAAACAACTTGACTCTGGAAACTCTATGAACTTTGAAAAATGTCGATAGTTGTAGAGGGTTTTCAGGTCTTTTGTTCATAGGGTCACTATGAGTCGTGCTCGACTCAAAGGAAATCAACAACAACAACTTTTGTTCTACTTCTTACTTTATAGTGCCTAAGATCTTAAAAACTTTCAAGTAGTTACCTAGAGTGCAGCTGATCTCCATTTACCTTGAGTCAGAGAGGAAGAAAGAGTATCAAGAATCATAGGAGAATATAAAATGAGCATCTGTTTGCCTTCATGAACAACTTTGTTATGCGACCGTTACTGAAAGTGTTGAACAAAATTCTGTAGAAGAACCTTTATAAAAAGGTGAAAATCCAGAACATAATTTCAAATTTTCAATGAAATCCAAAATTCCTGGAGTCAAAAAGATTGGATGAGCCCCTGAAACTATTACTCTGAAATAATCTTTAAACTACAAACCAAAACTATCACTTGAAGAATTCTTTCCATTAAGCAACATTATTGTTTTCAGTTTCCACTGAGTTAGTTGGCTCTGACTCATGTCTATTCCACAAACAACAGAGTGAAAATTTGCTTGGTCCTTGACCATCTTCATAAACTCTGCTGTGCTAGTTGCAGTCATAATGTTGCATACAATGTTGTTATGTTAGAACTAATTCATACCTGACCTTCCAGAGGATATCTAGATTTTCAGAGGCTGTTAATTACACAAAAGGAGAGTGTCCATCTTTCTCCCATGGAGCAATGTTGGCAACAAAACTCCTTACCCACTAGGCCACCAGAGCTCCCTAAATAGCAGTTTTGTTTAATCAATAAAGAATTGTATGTGGGGTCAAATTGACAGCAACAACTCCTTGAAAGATTAGATGAGCAGCTCAGGGGGTAGAGTGTTTATGTTAATATTGGTAGAATAATTTGGGGAAAAGTATTGAGAACATATGCACAACTAGAAGAATGTAGTCAATATCACTTAATTATACTTTTCCCATGTGGAACTCTGAGGTTGGCTCAGGATAGGACAGAGTTCAGAGCTATTGTGCACAGGCTCACTATGAGTCACAGGAGACTTGATGGTGCATAATAAAAATGGCTGGTAAGGAGCCATACTGCTACCTCAAATTCAGCATCTGCTCTTGAAAAATATAGGCAAATCCCTCTCATGTGGTTTACTGCTTCTAAAAACCTACTGGTGGGTCAGCTATGGGTCAGTTTCAACTTGAGAGTACACAATAACAACAACAACATTTTCACAAAATAAAAGTTCTTAAAGCTCCATAAAATTAAAGAACAAAAAGTTAGAAAAATATTTACTACTAATACGATATGAAAGGAATGTTGGTGGTGTAGTGTGTTGCACTGCTAACCAAAAGGTCAATGGTTTGAATCTACCCACTGCTCAGCAAAAGAAAGATAAACAGTCGCTTTCCATAAAGATTTAGAGTCTTGAAAAATTGATGGAGAGTCACTGTGAGTCTGAATTAACTAGAGGGTACAAAATATTTAGGGTTCTAATATAAAAAATTTATAACAAACTCTAAAAGGGTATGAAATACAGTACCTCTCAGAAGGTTAGCCACAAAATGTAGGAACAAGAGTTATCAGTTGGAACTCTTTCTCCAAACTCTGACCTGAGACCTTTGCCATAACACAATATAAAAGACATCAATAATGCAAATACAGAATGCATTGTAACCTGGAACACTCCAGAACCCCATTAATTACCATAAATAGC